ATTGCCCAAGCTATCTCTGTTATGTATGTCTGGCTTCAGATAGACAGCTCGGGGCGGATCCTTACTATGAAATGATTATCTAGGTATAGTAGCTTCTTTGGTACAATTATATGAACTTGGACGGAGGAAAGACTTCATATTTAGTTTATGAATATCTTACAGTGCTATCAGTATATTTGACTATGTTTTTCTTTCATGATTATAGGCTACTGGATGTACCATCAAGACACATATGATATGTATTCTCGATTGTTTCTCATGAATATGCTATTCCGAACAGGTTCATCATAAACAGTATGGCCAATGCTATGTTATATCATGTACAGCTGCTGACAAAGGTGTCTAGGTTTTAAGGAGAAATATGTAGTGTTTTCGTTGCCCATGATTGTCTTCGGGGTAAAGTAGCGGATGCATGGGAGAGGAAGGGGTGAAACTGCCATAAATGTCTAGATCAATTAAATCGAGCGGAGACTAAACTTGATGGAGAAATGATTCTCTATTCCGGAGGCCCACTGTGAGAGATTTAGCCAATCACAGACAATCTTTAGAGTACGTTCGGTCTTGTCCCCAACCCTAGCGGGCGACTGGAAGATTATACCCCAGTAATTGATAGCCAGTCTTCTATGCCGGCACAACTAGGTAGACAGATAAAGCGAAATATAATTCTTCTATAGCTTGAAACAGAGGAATCTGTGGAGACGGGGTGATATTAACTCACTTTCTGCAGTCCCCACATACCGGTCCCACAGCTTCACCCGAACCGGATTTCACCATACGGGGATTCGTCATCGGCAATAAGGAAGAAGGATAAGTATTAAGAGTATATGTACCTCTGCTGTGGTGACGTATAAATGTACACTCTTTTCAAAATCTTCAATAGCACACACTCTTTTACCTACCCACCGCTCCTTTTCTTCCTGCTTCTTCACCTTCCTTACTCTCCAAGCTGTAGTCAACATGAAACTTGCCAATGCCTCAATTTTAGCATTGCTACCGGCCACTGGCCTGGCTGCTTGCGGCACTCCCTACTCTGGCAGCCAGATCAATGGTACGCTGCTCCGCGCCGTTGTGCTTGACATGGGCAGCGATGCTGCCAACGTCACCGCCACCCAGTACGACCAGTACTTCAAGCAGGGTAGCGCTCTTGAGGGTGTCAAATCTGTCATTGCCAACAGCAATTTCTACATCAACCTGTGGGCCATCCCTGGCACCGAGTCCGCCTTTCAGAGTGTCAGCCAGTGCATGAGCGACGGCTATCTCGTTAACCAAGTAGCCTGGCTGTATTACAACAGCACCACCGCGAAGTGGTGGGGTGGCTACGAGGCTGAGACTGAGGCAGACAGTTACAATGCTGCCGCCCTGTCTGTTGTCACAAATATCGTGGCCGGCCTCGAGGTGCGCTTCTGGGACACTAACGGAGATGGCTACACCGATGTCATCGATGCCGACTATCTCGAGGGCGTTACCGTCGACACCATCACTCACAACGCCAACGGGACTTACTCGATCTACCGCGGAAATATTGACGTCGCGGACAAGACGCGTTGGGAAGGCACGAACTTTGACGCCGACCTATTCGACGGGTCCGGCCCGGCTATCCCTGAAAACAACTTTGACACCGCTATCTCACCCGGCGACGTCGCGCTCTTCTGGTACGGTCCCAAGGGTTGGGCCATGAAGCGTGCTCAAGAGGTTGTCGGCCTCTTTGTTGGCGGCGCCGACCACACCTCCTACAACATTGACGGGGTGTCCTATGAAGACGCCATGCGCTTCTCACGCGACAACCTGTTCATCTCTAACCGACCTGGCGAGTTTACCGACGCTCAAAAGTTCTTTAAGTTTACCAATGATTCAGCCGCTGGCCTCAATGTCAGCCTCTGGCTTGTACCTGTTACCCACACCACCGAGTACGGCGCGCCTGTCGGCATGACGAGCGACGGCAACTCGCGCATCTTCCTCGCCAGGGCTATTGCCCAGGCCCAAGCGCAGCTAGCCAACGTGACTATCAGTAGCAACGGCTCCAACGTCCCGTCCACCCAGGAATGGGTTAACCAGGCCAATTACACTCAACTCCACAACGCCATCGCTAGGGCCAACCTGTCGCTTGCCCTTGCTAACAGCTCGTCTTTCCTACTTGACTACCAGACCTACGTGCTGTACCAGACTCTCAACGGCAGTAGCACCGACATTGGTGCCGCGTTCGCCGGCTTCAGTTACACTGGCTTTGAGAACGCAGAGAAGCTCGGGACGGCCTAAATTCATCTTTCTTATTCCCCGGAGTCATTGATCTCATCACCCTTGGATTATTTATAGATACTATGTAGATAGACGCATCAAATAGCATAGTCATATAACCTAAACACCTCTAACCAGGTCTAGTGTAGCAATGTAAGAAGGCAAGGATTTCAGAGGAGAAAGTACCACGATTTTGCTGGGTCGAGTTTGAATGTCATTATTGGAGGCAAACTGAAGTAATCATATACTAATATATTCCAGGGGCGAGTCCATCCTGGCAAAAAGGAAGAATGCGCATCGAGATCTCGATCGCTGTCTGGGGCTGTTGTTCCAGTGGGAACAATAGTACTTCAGTGCCAACTGCCGTCTCTGCCGTTGTCCGAGCTCGACTTCGGAGACAGCAGCAACCATGGCCTGGCCATGTTCTTTCCTTTATCTCCGAAGGGTTGCCACGCGGAGAAGCGGTACAGAATTTAAGGTAAGATCATCGCTTCGTATACGTGGCAGATTGGGGTGCTCCACGTTGATGGCATGAGAGTCAGGGGCTATGGTTCAGCAAACGCTTGCTAAGCACACTGTGTTGTAATGTAATTGGGCCATGAACTACCGGCACAACAGACCACCGGCAGACCCGTTTGGGAGATCAGCGATGGGGCATATACTGGATCTACATTAGATATCGAAAATCGAAACATTCGGTGGCAATCCCACCCTCAGTCGCACCCCTTGGGAATATTCCGTGGGTACATCTGTCAGGCATCACTTGCTTGCTTCTTGTAGTCTGAAAAAACTGGTCTCTCTTCTAGGCCGGTGTCACAGAGAGTAGCACAGAAAGTCCTCTTCTTAGAGCTCATTAACATGTTTCTTCTAAAATAAATTCATTCATTTGACAGATTGTCTTTTGTCACTAGTACTTTTCGAATACCGCATCTGTTTACACACTGGCCGCGTGAAGAGCATGCGCGCACAGTCAATGTATAACTCGGACGTGGTTGACATTCGCAACCCTGAAGGGGGGAAGGAGGCGGGGGTGGGTTCGGGCCATAGATATGGATCTCGGCAGTTCGGAGAATGGTCTGGCCGAGGCTGTAGAGGATACTCATAATTCCATCATCTGCCAACCTGCTGGAGATTCTTTTCAGCAGCTCAGAATTACAGATGCGGAATTCAAAGACGGGGGTCAAACGGTTCGTGCTCAATGCCTGGGCCATACTTCCCTCGCCCCCCGGATTTTATGATAAATGACTGGGTAAAGACTTCCAACGCCCTGGTAATTCTTTGTTGCTGAACCGGCCCACGAACCAGGCGCCTATCAGCATATGGAGATATCAGCATATGTAGACGTCTGGAATTCTTACACAATGATCGACTCTGGTTGTTTGGCACGAGGTTGCTGTCCCTCGCGTCCCTTCCTGACACCTCGATCATGCTGTTTTGACGCACCAAATTTCCCTTAATAAACCTTACTGAACAAAGGGATACATCCTGCCTAATAACAGCGATGTAAATATTGGTTGGCTTGTTGCTTCAATCATTATCGATCTTTGAATACTCAACAGGTATGTGTTCTTCTACCGATAGCATGTGACACAAAATCAATGCAGAGGTCTGGTGCGAGAGAACAGCAGTGAAGACGTTCCTTATTCATTAGTCAGGCATAAATGTCCTTAGCCTTACACGCCAGCCAGAAACAGCGAGATATACTGCGTGGCTGAAGATCATTATGCAAGATTTGCACAACAACTGACCCAAAAGGGACACGCAAACCTGCTACTTGAAGTTCTTGGGTTACCTGGACGCGCATAATCACTATTCCGGTTTGAAAGTGAAGCTTCTGAGGGTAAGTAAGCAAAAGGCAGGCGGTGATGGGAAAGACTCTGCTGCTCCATGTTGGCACGTTTTCAGATTGGGTTGGACTCGAAAGTCTTCTGGGTGACAAAGATCAATAGCCCTCAGTGCTGTAGTAGTTTGTTCGGACATATAGAGCAATTCTAAGTTGCACAACTTCGCATGTTAGGAGCAATAGGAGGCCCAAGGGGGTAAAGTACATTTGACACTAAGACGCGATCGCTCCAGTAGATTGTAAAGCCAAGTGTGAGATAGTTCTTTCCGTAATAGTAAGTAGGTATTAAAGATGGTTACCATGACATAGCAAAGTCGTTCAAAAATCCAATCGACGATCGGTTGGAATATATATGATTCTCATAGGTGCACTTTGAAACTAGGACCGTCAAACATGAGACAGAAGGGTGTGGCATTGTTAACCTCATTCGTTGGAATTGACACAGTCTACAGGTAAACTAGATAGATGTCCTCGCAAGAACGACAAGGGGTTAACCATGTGCATTTTCTACTGCAAAATATGGGGACTGGGGAGGCATATGGCAGTATCCAAGTTGTACCCTCGCCAAGCACCATCAGGGACTAGCGGCAGCCCAAATCAGGGTCTGGACCCCGAATTGGCTTCTGACCTTGCCCGATGGAGACTAGCCGGCTGGTGTTTTGCCCGGACGTGACCTGAAGCAGTTTAGATCCGGTCGCAGTGTTGCCTCTTCTGTTAATCTTAAAGTCAGCATCACGAACAGGATTGGATGGCGGAGAAGGTGGCTGCCATCATCACGCCTCTTTTGCAGTCTCTCCTTTCTTTCTTTCTTTCTTTCTTTCTCTCTGAATTATTCCGTTGTTGTATCGCTCGTTATCCCGCATCTTCCTATCCACGCACTCGTTCATCCACCATCACAGCAATCAGTCACTCGTTCCCCATTATGATGAACCGCACACTCCTTCTCGGTCTGGCTGCTGCCGGCCTGGTCTCAGCCAAGGCCACCATCACCTCCATGTTCATCTTCGACACCGATCCACAGCCTTTGGCCGCGTCTATCATAGGTAACGCAAGTTGTCCTTGTCTCTATCAGCCTGGTATATTTTCCTCAACTAACCGTGATGCAGGATGCGACCGCGACAACCTACAGTATCAACTGCCCACCCGGCACCGATTCCAGTGATTGTGGCATGGGTCCCGGTCTTACCCTGATCGCCGGTCCCAAAACCACCATGATCCTGGACGCTCCGGACGAAGATTTGTATGTTGATGGTTGTCTACACCCTGTACATTGGTCATGACTGACATGGTTTGCTGCACAGCTACTACACCTGCGTTTGCTCTGTCGATGGAACGACGCACGCCGTCTGTACCGAAACAGCCTCGGGATCCGGCGCCAACTTCCCAGGAACCAGCAGCACCACCCTGGATGGTGATCTAGATATGATGCCTGTGACTATCACTGCGGGCTCTGTCACGAGCGTGGCTGCCTCCGCCGCCCACGCTACAACTGAGGCTCAGACAGCAAGTAGCACGGGTTCCGCTGCTACTGCTACGGGGAAACAGTCGCAGGCATCTGCCGCCTCTACTAGTGCTGCCATGGCTGGCTCTGTCACCTCTTCCAAGACTGCGACTGCCTCGAATGTCGATGCTTCTGCTACAGGCACTGGCAAGGCCTCCCTGCTCAAGGGTGACGCAGCGTTCCTCTTCGGAGGATTTGCTGCTGCTTTTGTTGCAGCTGTTCTCTAAACCGGCCTAAAATCATGTCATACTCGCATTTCATAGCGCTCAAGTCTCACAGAGGGCACTTATGTATAATAACATGGAATCATATCACGCTTTCTCGCAAAGTCATCCAAATTGTCTTCTAAGAGGAAAGCCGAGATGGATGCAGATATGGATGCAGATATGACGTGAACGTGTACGAAAGGACGACTAGATACTCGTACGCGTAAGCGTGCCGAACGGTGATCGTCAATTTCAGAATCCCACGACCAGTGGCTCATGCGAAGCTCCCTCATCATCATATCACATCTGACAATAATGTGCCAACAGTGTTCCAGGTATTGACCCAGCGCGTTGCGGTTAGTAGGATGGAGAGGATCATGCGGGACTTCCAGGGTTTGCCGTGGTGTGTAGTCTGCGAACTCCATCATGATAAGCACCAATTCCAGCGGAAGCTTCGTCGCATACATGAGGATCCTTCTAGATTTCTGGGGAATAATTGTGGGATCACATGATATCTGTGGTCTAATAAACCCTAAATCTTATCCCCATGCCCTCAGGTATTACCCCCTCCAGCCTATTCTTTCATCTAAGGAGTCCAATGCTCGTGAAGGTACCATCTTATTTCCACTGTGCGTAATGAAAGTCTGCTGGATCTAGACAGCGCTGCCGCTCTCCAAACGCGTACAACCCCAGCATCATGCCCGTAAAAGCCACCCCTACGGGTGGTGCTGCCGTCATACTGCTATTGTCCACTTCTCCTATCCACTCAATCAAAGCATCATCCGACTCAACGTCGCTGAGTTCCTGAAATCCAAACCGGTAGCTATCTCCGCACTCGATCACCAAGCGAACATCCGACTGGGAATGACGTAGACCGAAGTCGACCACCTCGCCTCCTGGAGAACGTAGCCGAACAATACGCTGGCCGTTTTTCCCCAAGCGGATTCCGACGCTGCTGTAGGTGAAATATGTCCACCATACTACTGCACCAGCTTCGCATACCTGGTTCCTCGGGTGAAAGGACAGTCGTGTCTCCCATGTGCAGAACCGATGAGTCTGCTTGCGAAGGAAAAGTGTGGGGCACGCTGGAACTGACAAATTATATGGACCGCCGTAGAGGCGAAGGAAGCCTGGTCGCTCTGTGAGGGAGTAGTCACGCACGACCGGGGTATTTTTGCGGTACCATCCAAGCTGGAGCTCGCTGTCTGAAAAGTCATCACGCCATGCGACTGGAACTGAGAGCTCATAGAGGTAGAAACTTTCGGAGTGAAGGGGGATCTTCTGGCCACTGTTGACAATGGGCCAGTCGTCCTTCCAATCTACTGGAGCTAAAAAGGTTTCGCGGCCTGTAATTGACATTAGCATACTGTGCGCAACATATAACTGGAGAAGTACTCACCGAAAACAGATTCCTCCCACTGCCCATCCTTCCAAACCGGACGTACTCCCAACAAAACAGCCCACCACTGCCCCTGCACATCTTCCACTAGATCCGCATGTCCAGTATTCTGAACGTCATCGTCCACTCCATTCCTCCAGAGAGGGTTATGCGGCCCAACCTCCCACGGCCCAAACGGACCGGTAGTACTGCGACTGACCCATTCGCAATGGCCGCTCTCAGTGCCACCCTCCGCAGTGAAAAGATAATAGTACTTGCCGCGTTTGAAGATATGTGATCCCTCCGCGACACCCGAGGAAGACTCCCTGATTAGTTTGGGCTCTGAAGTGGAGGCGCCCGTCTCTAAGTCAACAGTGACGATGTGGACGGCAAAGTCTTTTAGATTTGCACCGGGAGTTCGCTCCAGCTTGCGATATGTGCTTGAGAGGTAAACAGTGCCGTCGTCATCCCAGAATAGCTGCATCACTAGTCAGCTATGATTAATTGGGAGGGGGCCGGGGAGTCAAACATCCTGGTCAAAGCCAATTTGGTCAAAATATACCGGGTCCGACCACGACTTAGAGTCCCGGATATCAGTGGTCTTCACGTAGAATCCGCGCGGCCAGACGCGGTCATCTTCCTGAGGTCGATAACGCTGGAAGCAGGCAGCGAGGATGTAGAACACGCCGTCGTGATACCGCAATGTCGTAGCCCATACACCACCACCTGGCTCGGGGGTCTGGATCTGAAGTTGGCTGGAACGGGTGAGGGCATGGCCGATCAGGGTCCACTGGATTAGATCCGTGCTATGGTAGACGGGAGCGCCGGGGAAGTATTCGAAGGAGGATGTAACGAGGAAGAAGTCCTTCCCAACGCGGATTATGGAGGGATCGGGATTGAATCCCGGTAGGATGGGATTGATGTACATAGTGAATATGGGGGTGGGAGTAGAGATCGTGGGGTAGTGCTGACATGCGGGCTAATTTATGTATTCTGAATGAGTTGTAGGTGATTGGTGGAGAAATACGGGAAGTTGCGGGCAATGAGGGGATCGCTGCCAAGGGGATTTCGGTGTCGAATGAAGTTCCATGTTATCATGTACCGTCTACTATGTATTCCCTACGAACGTGCTTGATGTTCCATATCCTCTTTCCGTCATAAGCATTAGCAATAAGACTTCTTGGGGTTATTCGTCCTACGCCGTAGTCTGCCGCCGACGCAGCCAACAAGGCCAGCCATACGGAACAGCCGTAAAATGGGTCTCAAAACGCCATGACTTCTTTGGATCGACCTGTTCGATGTCGAAGTCGCGGATGATAGTGGCAGAGACCTTGGAGATCTCAAAGTGGGCCAGGTTCCGACCGGGACATTGGTTGTATCCAGCTCCCCACTGTGTCTGTAGTCAATATAGGGCAATGCGTCCTCTCTTTTTGAAGGCAACAACTTACGTGGATGAGGAACGGGTCCATCTGTCTGGCTCTTTCAGGGTCAAGCCATCTTTCCGGGTTAAAGTCATCACAGTCAGGTCCGAACAGCTCTGGATTCCGATGGAACGCCCAGGGGTTGATGCTGAGAAGTGTCTGTTGCAACAATGTCAGCATATTTGCCATCAGTGGAGGATTATGACTTACTCCTTCTGTAAAATGCCGTCCGCCAATGGTGAGACCACCCGCCGGGACGACACGAGGCAACCCAGTGCCGGTAGCCGGGTGGTAGCGATAGGTTTCCTTGATCTACACTCATCAGTATGGCGATCGCGATCGAAGAAGGGTCACATACACAGGCCTGGAGGTAGGGCAGCTTTGCTGCCTCAGCATAAGATACCACATGCGACAGATCGCCCCGAGCGTGTGCTTCATCCACCTCCTGACGCAGCTTCTGCAGGTGGTGTGGGTGGCGGAGCATGTAGTAGAAGAATGCCTGCAGCGTGGCGCTCGTGGTATCAGCGCCGGCGCCAATATTGGCGACAGCAGCTCCAAAGACCTCCGCCTCGTCCATGCGATCGGGATACGTGCGACGCACATGCAGCCAGCGCTCCATCATATCCAGTCTGACGGCGGGGTTCTTCTTCCGACTATCGATGGCGGCCAGGCAGGTGTCGAATATATGCGAAGAGGGCTGCAGACCAATGCGACTGAGCAATGGGTTTCCCAGTGTGAGGTTGTGGAGCCACACGTAGTGCCCCATGATGGCGATGTACAACGCCAGTGCTCGGGTGTTGGCGATGGCATTGCGGATATCGGTGCCCGTCTCGAGGAATCGGAAAGGGCTGGAAAAGGTCACTTCGCCGACCACGTCAAAGGCAAAGTAGTTAAACCAGCGATCAAACTCCACCGGCTGGCCCGATGCAATCAGTTTATCGAATTGATTCTCGAGGAGTCCCAGAAGAGCATCCACGTAAGGCTCGGACTTAATAATGTTTGACAGGGCATACCCCGACGCTACATTGCGGGACTTGCGAATGTGGCGCTGGGGATCCAGTTCTGACATTTGGTTCACATAATGATAGTCTGGCAGGCTAAAGATTGAGTACCACGATCCCTGATGTTTTTAGTGTGGTGACTTGAATACGGGGATAAGTTACTCCGTGAACATACTTTGGCGATGTTGGCATGAAGCAACAGGCGCACCGCATCAGGATGGGCGACGCTGACCTCATTGTCGGCGATGCGGACAAAACTGCCTGTTCTACCTGTTAGTAAATAACTTGTGTAATGGCGAACCGGTGGAGATGCACGGACCATGTCGGCGATGAAGTTTCACAATCTCCTGTTCGGTGTGGCCCTTGATCAACTGGTACACCTGCCAGAGGCTCGAAATTGAGGCCAGCCAAGGACCGGGAATATCCCGGATAGAATTTGCATAGCGCCTTCTCAAGGCGATCACCGTAATAAGGATAAGCAGCAGGAAAGGCACCGAGACTGGCAGGGATGCCAGATTCCCAGGGATCCAGACGGGTGCAAACAGGACGGACATGTTGGGTCCTGGCGGGTGACCAAGCATCTCCCTAAAATTCGAGACACAATTGGAGTCAATCCTTGGCTTGCTATTTGTATTTTCCCCGTAAACCCTTCTCGGGGGTGACTTGCAATGGAGGAAGCATGCGACGCACCGGTGCTGCTTAGTGTTGCTGCTAACGCTGCGCTAACGGCATTCCGCGGCCGCTATCTGAGATTTTTTTCCTGCATTGCACAGGATTGAGATGTTGAATTCTAAGCGAGCAGCTTCAGTATGATAATTCCCTTGTTCATCAAACCTAGCATGCACACTTCATTCATTCAGTACGATAAAAAGCAGCACTAATTTGCCCTTTGCAAATTATCCGCACGTTTGGCATACAGATGGCAGTGACATGAGGAAAGGCCCACCCCTCCGGAGATGGCAAACGTCCAGTGGAGAATTGAGACGCTGTGGCCAATTGTTCCCCTTGAATCAGGGCATGAAACCCGGCATTGACGGGGCGGGTGGAATCGAAGCGAGCTTCTCTTCTGATCCAGCAAATCATGTATGCGCAATATCAATAGCGTTCCCACCAAGGATCCATGACGTGAAAGGATCGAGTGGACCCATGTGTCACAAGCAAGGAACAAGCAAATCAACCCCCGGATCCAGACCTTTCATAATACCCATTGTGGTCTTGCCC